CAATGAATGACTTCCACAAGGCTGGACAGCCAGAGTTGGAGCAGGCTCCAAGTGATGCGGAGAAGACACTGAAGCCGAAAGGCCACCAAATAGGAGAGACTTTGGTAAGTAATCTAGATTTTGGACCAAGGTTTAGCTCAGCAGCACAGTGCTTGCCTGACAAGCACAAGGCCCTGAGTTCAATTCCCAATACCAGGGAAAAAATAGTAATTGAGATTTTCAGTAGAGACAATGGAAGGATTACACACCAAGAGGAGGAAAGACAAACAAAACATAAACCATCCCTGGCAGAGCCTGAAATCCAGTCTCAAAATATATCAATTTTTTATTACATCAAGGCAATCTTGCCCCTTTTCATCTGCCCACTAGGAACAACAACCAAAAATAAGGTCTCTGTAAAGGTAGAAAATGTCATCCAGAGCCTCCAGGAGTTTTCATTCACAATATCTAATGTTTAGGAAAACAAGAACCACGAAATGAAATCAACTTGACTTATTAAAATTAATAAATATTTTCTTCAAAAATAGATGAAAATATGGAGAACTGGAATGTAAAAAGAATTCTTGAACTAACAAAGGCAATAAATAAGATTAAGAATTCAGTATATGGGGGAGGTGTAGCGCAGTGGCAGAGCATTAGACTAATATGAACAAGACCTGAGGTTTGATTCTCAGTCCTGAAAGACAGAGCATGGGGGAGATTGAAGTTTAACATCAGAAGACAGAATTAGTAAACTGGAAATTAGATCAGGAGAAAAACAACCAGACAAAAGCAGAGAAGACTAAGCATACGAGGTGGGTGTGGGGGGCTAAGAGAGAGATAAGGCACAAGGAAAAGAACCAACAAATGTGGACTTCTAATCTCAGCAGGACCAAAAAAAAAAGGAAATGCAGTGGGAGCAACATTTGGTGCATTAAAGAACAAGAATGCCATCAATACAAGGACTCAAGGAGCTTAAACAAAATTCAAACACATAAAAACAAAGGAAGCTATCTAAGGCGCATTATAGAAAAACTCTAGGAAACTAAAGACAAGAGGAAAAATGTGGAATAACCAGAGGAGACAAAAAAGACATACCGAGGACAATAAGACCTACTCAACACAAGCAGTAGAAGCCAGAAAACAATAGAATGGTAAAACTAAAATGTTGACTAAAATAACTCCAGTCCAGAAGTCTATATCCAATAAAAATATCTTCAAAACCAAAAGCAAATGTTTCAAATAAATAAAACTCTAAGAAAATATGTTGTCAACCTATACACACTAAAAGAGGTACCAAAAGAAGTTATTCAGACAAAATGATCCCAGTTAGAAGAACAGTGATGCAGAGAGCAATAGAGTGTCAAAGGTTAAGCATAAGAGTAAATCTAAATAACTATAGACTTTTTAAAGCAATAAAAATGATAATGTCTTGTAGGATTTCAGATACATAAAGAAGTGAAGTACATGACAAAAATAGACTAAAAGGTAGAGAGGAAAATGGTAAATGGTAAATGGAATTAAGATTTTGTAAGGTTTATGCATTGTCCAGGAACTATTAAATTATTAATTGAAAGGTAGATGTCTATAATAGAGACTGACAAACTCTCACTAATGCCCACATTGGATCCACAGTCTGTTTTGAAAGCTAAAAATGTTTGTGCATTTTTTTTTAAATAGTGGAAAAAGGAGAGCAGGGAGGAGGAGGGAGAAAAATTGGAGGTTGTAGATGGTCCTGAAAGCCTAAAATAGTAATGTTTTAATTCTTTACAGAAAAACATTACCAATCCTGCTCTAGAGTAACATTTAAAAAATCATAAAAGAATGTCTAAAAAAACAAGACAAAAAGGGAAGAGATCATGAAAATCATTTTTTAAAAGAAAGCACCGAATTGAAAAATAGGGAGCAAAAACCACACAGAGAAAATATAAAACAAGCAACAATATGATAGAATGAACACCAAAATATCAAGAATGTATTCAGTTTAAGTGGATTAGAGCCAAAAGATTAGTTAGTCTGGAAAAGCAAAACAACAAGATCCCGCTACACAGGGGTTCAAACAGGAAAAAAAAAAGTGAAAGAATCTAAAACAATGTTCCATGAAAACACCAACCCAGAGATAATTAGCTTAGCCCTACTGATATCAGACAAAGCAGGACTACAGGGTAGGTATTCCCAGAGATAAAGAGTGCATTTCATAACAGGAAAAAGTCAATCCCACAGGAAGATGTGGTAATCTGAAGTTTGCACGCACCCAAAAACAAAATCTACAGTACACGAAGCAAACACTGACCAAACTAAAAGGAAAAGCAAATTAATTACATAGTTAAAGGTTTCATCTTTTGGCAACTGACATAATAAACTTTCAGACAAGAAGTCATCAAAGACAAAAACTTGAGCCACACAATAAACAAACTTGGCCTTCGTGACATATATAAAATGTCGAGCCTGACAACAGAGAATGACATTCTTTTTCAGTGTGCGTGGAACATTTAACAAAATAAACCAGTATATTTCAAAGGGTCCAAATCATACGGAGCATGTCTTTTTACAAGAATACTAGAAATCAATATAGGAAGCACGTTTTAAATCTCCAAATTGGAAAATTACTAAACACTTCTTAACTAACCTAAATTTTTAAAACAGATCAAAAATTTTTAAAATTTCAATGGAAATTAGAAAACATTCAGAACTAAATGCTAATGAACCAACATGCTTAAACTTGTAGAACAAAGCTTAAACTGTGTGTAAAAGACAAATGTGTACCCTTAAATGTACATTCTAGAGAAAAAAGACAGGAATATCAACCAATGAGCTAGAAAAGAATTTAAGACAAATAAATTAGAAGGAAATAAGTCATAAAGATGTGTTGAAAGTGAAACAGAAAAATATATATAATAGACCAAAAAATCAACAAAGCCAAAATTATCTTTGAAAACTAATAAAATTTATAAATCTCTAAAAAGACTAATCAAGAAAAAAGAAACAACTAATACAAACTATGAAAAGTACTGCTATCACTCGAAAGTCATACAATCATCAAAGGTGATGATGTTACAAGCAACTTTGCGTGACGCTGAATATGGCATTCCCACGATCCTACAATTCTATTCCTAATTCTATTCCAATTCTCTCCCTAATAGAAAGGGAAAATAGTCCATATGTGTTAGCATGGCAATGCATACAACCGTAAACAAAAACGTAAAAACTGAGTTGCTATCGTAGGCAGCAAGAGGAATGAGTTTGCTGTATTGAGTATTTTTTAAAAGACAAAAAATGCACAGTGTGTGACTTTATTTATATGGCAAAAATGTTGATCAACTTTGGTACAAGACAGATGTTGTTGATTTTGTGGCGGTAATGCCTGGGAGACATAGATATGAAGCCTAGGGGCATGAGCAATTGTTCCACTTCCTGATCTCAATTTGTTCACTTTGTAAGCATTTGTCCAGCACTACCTTTAATACTGTGCATTTTTCCGACTATGATAACTCAACCCTTTTTAAACTTACAAATAGATATTAGCTAAATATGTATTGCAATTGCTTCTCGGCCTTTGGCTAAGACCAAGTGTAATATGTAGCACCCGTTTGTTTCTGAGTATGTGTCTTTCATTGAAATAGACAGCAGTAGGCTAGAACTTGAGGGCGTTTTGAAGCTTCCCCACACGACCGTATTTTTCATGTATCTCGACCGGGAGAATGATTACTCTTTTGCCGAGCAGTGAACAACACTCAGATTTAAGGGACATGGGGCCTAAGCGGGAGAGAGCACAAGATAAGAGGAAGGGCATCTGACCCTACCCAGCAGGCCGCGTTAGAGGTCAGCCTGTGCCAGCGCGTGCCAGACAGAGAAGCCCACGAAACATGCTGAGCCCACTCACTGCAGGGGTTTCTAAAATGGGTGTATGCAACAGAAAGCACCGGTGAGACAGCCTCCCCTCTCCCCACCGAGGGACCACATGACTCTGATGCCTTTCATGCGGGTGGGGCTCGGAGGCACAACTGATTTTTACAAAGACCTAGGATGGGGTGTTTTCACTGTCCCCCAACAGTGAATCCTGCAGAGGGAAGAAAATCTCTCTGGAAAAAAAATTTAAATTAAAAAGATAAAAAAGGTAAAGCTGTTTTTGCCATGGTAACTAAGGTTTACCCATACCTAGATTCACTGGGTTGACTGAAGTGGTTTTGTAGGTGTAAGTGATTTTTGAAGAACAAATTAAAAAGACTTTTTATATGTCCCAATAGACAACAACATAGCAGTAGCTAATGGTGCTTGCCATCTCTAAAATAATTGCTTTGATAATAATCTGTTTATTAATGAAGTGATCCACAAAGTAATGATTTATTCAGATTTCAGGCATAGGAACTCTTCCTTCTGCTTCATTTGGCTTTTCTCTTCTTTTTTTGTTTTTTTGCTTGTTGGTTTGGTTTTTTTTGTTTTGGTACTGGGGATTGAACTCCGGTCCTTGCGCTTGCAAGGCAGGCCACGGAACCACTGAGCTAAATCCCCAGCCCTTGCTTTTCTCTTTATAAAGATACACCACGAAGTAACTCAAAATTTGCTGACAGATTTTCTTAAGTACAACAGTGTCAGAAATGCTTGCTTGAGTAGGTAGCATAAGCCCACATTCATTGTATGGTGCCCTTCAATTATTCTCTTTAATAGTGGAAGTGTTCAAAAACTAGCTGCAGTGATGGCTGCACACCTCTATAATTGTACTAAAATTCACTGACTTGCACACTTAAGATGGATGAATTTATGATATGTAAATTATGACAATGCTTTTTATTTTAAAATTTATTGAACATTTTCAAAAAATGTTTCCTGCTTGTCCCATCTTGACACAGAGATGCTGAGTGTTGAGAAAGGAGAATTCCAGGGAATGAGAGCAACAGTGAAATGCAAAAGCTAATTAGACTCAAGAGTGGTAAAAGAAGATTCGAGAGTCCAAGTAGACCAAAAGCTAAACAATGAACATAGTCAGCAATCAGATATCAATTTAAGAAAGTCCCCTTTGGATCATGTTCTAAAAGTGGCACCTCTCATGTCCTAACACCAGAGTTTTGGCATAAAAATGGAGCCTGGCTCCCTCAGCCTCAGCATTTCCTCTCGTTTCTTATCACTCTTGCTATTTCATCTTCACCAACACTGCCTAGTCTTTATGTTGCCTGTGTGTGGACTTTGGCTTCTCCTCGCACCCTGGGTCAAGGCCTAGCACAGAGTAGGTGCTCAGTAAAGATAGCTTCTGTTCCTCCTCAGCCCTTTGCCTGGCATAAGAAATGTTGAAAAGTGTTACCGTCCTCTTCCAGAACTGCAGGTGCTCCGTTAATACCAACCCTGTAACCTGGGCATGAAAAATCCTGCCCTGGCAGTGTCAGGTGAGTCATCTAGAATCTCCAGCTCGAGAAGGTCTATGTGGTCTGCGCAGGTCAGCAGAGTCTGACCCCAGTTGGAAGGGGGCCCTTTCTCTCCTCTTCAGCCTTCTGGCCACCTCCCCACCATGATCAGGTCACAGCCCCACCCCCAGGGTAAGTCCTCCAACCTGTGATCTCTTGCCCACTTGCCAGCTACTGGCAGACACATCCGAGTATCACAAGGACTACATTAGTCACTTTGCTGTTGCTGAGACAAAATATCCAAGACCTGAAAATTAAAGGAAAAGAGGTTTATTTGGGCTCATGGTTTCGGAGGGTTCAGACCATGGTCAGCTGGCTCCAAGGCAGAAATGGCACAGTACAGCAGCACCATAAAGGAAAGCCGCTCACCCTATGGCAGCAGAGAGCAGAGAAGACAGGAATTGGGAACAAGAACACATCCTTTTAGGTCACCCTTCCAGTAACTCTTCTGACCAGGCCCCTCTCCTGACCCACGTTCAGCGATGAACTCGTCAATGGACTGATCCACTGATGAGTGTAGCTTCCCCCTGACGCAGTCACCTTCCAAAGCCCCATCTCTGAAGACATGAGACTTATAGAGAACATTTTAGATCTAAGCATAACAGTGATCCATCCACATTCACCTAAGGCCTCTCTCCAGCCAGGCTTCAAAGCAGCCCATGTGCAGCTCAACTTTGTCTTGGGCCCGGCCCTGCTGGCTGAGCATTGTGAGAACTGAACTGCAGACCTAGGGGGATGATATGGCCACACCGCGGGTCCAAAAGGTGATAGCAGGGCTCAAGAGAAGGCAGACTAGAGAACAGGCTCGGTCCCAGAGCAGCTGGTGGCAGAATCACACCAGAATCTAGACCCCTTCGTGTGGGCCCAGTCTTTGCTGGGAGCTGCTTGTGTGACCTTGAGCAGGTCTCCGAGCCTTGGGGTCACCATCCATGGAACGAGCCCTCGGGTCTGCCTCTCCCTCCTCCTCATATCAGGGACGACAAGGCCATGGATGTTTCGATGATGGAAGAAATGCTCTGGCACCAAGGCCCTGAACAAGACAGGCTTCCTGGCCCACTTCTGGAAGGTCCACAGCAGTGGGGGCCTCAGCCAGGCACTGGGCTTCTCAGTTTCCCAGATCTAAAGGCCACCATCACTGCGCCGCTGCCCCCGTGCCTTACAAAATCACTGGATTTTTAACCTGCATTTCTGGAATCCTTTTACACTCTCCCTGACAACTCTGTTACTTTGGGTTAAAAACAAACTTTTGCAGCTGTGTAACCTTTAGTCTGCAGAGATTGTCAGATCTGAATTCAGAAAATAACACCGTTCCAAACTCCTGCAGCCGAGAAGGCCCAAGGTGACAAAATCCAGGAGGGGAAAAAGCTGTGAGCAGAAGATGTTAAGGAGACAGAAGAGGGAGACCAGTTAAATTTAATATTAGCCAGAGATGTCTGGCTTATGTTACATCTTAGGAAATAAGCGGCAATAATGTCACTAGTAAATTAGCACCATTAAAGAAAAGTGATTATTAGTGCTCAGAGTCAGGCTCTGAGAATCAGGATGACATCGAAAATGCAGCAAGTCAACAGTCAGGGCCTGGCTTTTACACTCAGAGCCAGGTTCAAGTCCCAGCAGCGCTGTTTCACAGCACTGCTGTGTGCTGACTTCACTTCTCTGCTTTCTGTTACACTGATGGGGCAACGATATCCTGAAAAGATGTCACCTAACCCCCAAAAGCTGTGAAATGTCACCTTTCACAGCAACAAGAGGTTTCCAGGTGGGATTAAGGATCTTGAAATGGAAAAAAACGAACCTGGACTCTCCAGGTAGAACCAATCAATGTCATCTGAAAGGTGCTTCTCAGAGGGAGGCAGAAGATGGGAGTCAGAGATGCCAATGGAGCGACCCAGTAGGGAGATGTGAAGGTGCTTTGCCATTGGCCTTGAAGGCCGAAGAAGGGACCAGGGGCCATGAAATGCAGGCAGCCTCTAGAAGCTAGAAAACCAAGAGAAGGGATTTTTCTCCTGGTGGCCCCTGAAGGAACACAGCCTGTAATTACCTTGATTGTGGACTTCTAACAGCCAGAACTGGACAATTTATATTGGTTTGTGCTGTTTGTCTGTTTTGGTGGTATTGAGGAACGGATGCAGAGCCTTCACACTGAGACACACACTCGCATTATTCTGAAATGCGGTCTCCCCAAGTCACTGAACTGCCTGGGTTGGGCTGGGCCTCATGATCCTCCCACCTCAGCTTCCCAGACTGCTGGGATTACAGGCATGCACTGCCATGATGGACTATATTTATATTGTTTGAAGTCACTAGTTTTATAGAGTTTTGCTACAACAGCACAAGGAGGACAGAAAGATCTTTAGAGGCTGCTGTAGCACACACATTTTTTACTTTTCACTTTGAGTTTTCACAAAATGGCAGCCGGTAATAGCAGCTACCAGTAACTGTAGAGCATTAGCGGGCTTTTGTGGTCAGACACACCTCAGGGGCCTTCCTTCTTCCCACAGCATCCCACAAAGCAATCATCCACTCTGTCTCCATTAGTCAGAGCCCCTGCCTCCTGAGCAGCCCAGCTGTGTCGGACAGGTGGGAGGTGGTTATCATGAATTCATTCTCAGGGGACCTGAGATGGGCTTGCTGGGCTCTTTCCCCATGCCCGGGTCCCTCTGCTTCTCATGCTGCTTTAGATACCTGCAGATGGGTCTTGGTGAACCCCAAAAGCTCCAAAACTACACTATGAGTTGCTCAGTTCCTCAAATGTATCCCAAATAAGCAGGATTCTGTGTTTCCTCCCTGTGTCATGCTGGTTGCTCTTCTCTGGATACCCAAGTACCTCACAACTGAATGCTACTTTCCAAGTATGGTATGATTCCCAGAACATCTGCCTTCTGCTTTCTTCAATCCAGCCTGAGACCACCTTGGATGATCTAGGTCTTAGGCCCAGGCAGCCAACTGCACTGTGGGCTGGTGCCTTGTAACCAAGCATTGAGATTCCTGTCTTCTCTCAGAATGCAGCCAATACCTCTCAGCCCTGACCTCGTTGGGGACTGCCTGGGTTTGGGCACCTGACCCTACCATTTCTGTTTCATCTCACATCATTACATTCAGCTCAGTGCTCTAGTCTGTTGTTTGTACCGCGTTGTGTCAACCAAAGTATTTTCAGCATGTCATCTCAAAATCTGTTAATTACTAAGTCATCTCTGTCTACCACACTAATAGAAATATCAAATTGGACAATCACGGTGACCTTAGAAATTTATTTTCACAATAACATTGATTGGGATATGTGAACAAAGGCCATAAAACAATTCTAAACACACCTACCAGGCATACTAATCTGCAAATTACAGTCATCCCTTGGCATCCTTAGAGGATTGGCACCAGACCTCTGCAGACTTTGTACCAAAATCTAAGGGTGCGCAAGTCCCTTATTTAAAATGGTGTCATATTTGCATTCCACCTACGCACATCTTCCTGTATAAATTAAATCATCCATAGATAATGTATAATACCTAATGCAATATAAATGCTGTATAAATAGCTGATGTATTTATTTAGTGAATAATGACCAAAAACTAGCCCATACATGTTTAAGTACGATGCAAATTTTTTCAAGTATTTTTGCTCCTTGGTATGTCAAATCTGTGGGTGTGCAAGGCCCATCCTGTGCACAAATTTGTCATGAGATTTCCTGACAAATACCAAGCTGAGATGAGCTTTGCCTCTACATACTTAACACAACTTCCAGACATAATAGCCTAGCAAGCTTACCACAATATGGGGAATATACTTACCTGGTTGTGGCTTGTTCTTAAAGAACACACACAGGCTTCCAGAGAATTCTACTCCATTTTTTATGTGCTCACAGATCAGCCTTAAATAATCCAATCCAGAAACTTAATGAGGATGGATATGAGGATCCCCTGTTTTGTAGCCATAGAATCTCTTCCCCTCTTTACTAATCAGAGCTATATTTGCCACTCTAGTGTTCCAGTTTCTTTCACAGCCTCCACATTCCTTAAACATTATCAGCAGAGGCTCTGCAGCTTCTGGTGAGTTCTCCACTCCCTGGAGTGTAACTTGTCCTGGCCAAGAGACTTGAGCTCATTTACAGCAGCTTGGTGCTGTTAGAATCTCTTTACTCATCTTGAACTTCAATTTTCCTTTCCAACATTTTCTTTCTTTTTAGTCAGTAGACTGTTCTCCTTGGCAAAGATGAAAGAAGCAAAGTTCTGCTCTCTCTCTCTCTCTTGCTGCCATTCTAAAATGCAAGTAGTGCCCTGTTACTTGGTCTACCTTAAACTCCTAAGGGGCCAGCTTCCCTTTCCCTCCAGTAGTAATTCCCCAATTCCCCTGGGTACTTGGGAGGTGGGGGTGGGTGGCAGGTTTCCAAGTCTCTCACAGATTGAGTCAATAACTGCATTCGAAAACTAGATGGTAAGACAAACCCAAAAATGTATCGTGGCTCAATGATAGAGCCTTATTTGTCATTCTCATAAAGCTCCAAAATGGATATTTCAGATCAGTGGGCACCCTTCTCTAAATAATAGCTCAGGGGCCCAGGTTTTCTTCAATTTTGACCATCTGCCATCTTCAACATAAGGCTTCAAGACGCCTGTGCTTGTTTGCAGCAAAATAGAAAGAAGGATAAAGGCATGGAGAAGGTACAGGGATTAGGGTCAGGTCTGGCAAAGGCACAGGTTACTTCAATTCACATTCCTCTGGCTAGAACTCGGTCATACAAGTGCGCTTAACTGTGAAAGAAGCTAGGAAATACTATAGTCTAGCTGAAAAGGATGGTGGGAAATGTAGTCTAGCTGCAAAGGCCATTGGGGAATGTAGTCTAGCTGCAAAGAATGATGGGAAATGTAGTATATCCCAGGAAAAGGAGAAAAGACTATGATGAAGATTCTGCCATTGTGGATGTGGGGTCAGATTTTTGGAATCTGCATTTCCATAAGCCTCTAGATGACCCTGATGTAGGACCCTACTTTGAGTATCAGTGATCCCTGTTGCAGGCACCAAAGGCTCTTTGCAAAGTAGCCTCCATGCTCTGTTTGCACTATTACTCTCTACCTTACTGTGATCATACAAAGCACCAGCAGCTTCCTCAGAGGCCACGTGCTCTCTCTCCCACACCTCTGTGCTGGGTGATTCTTGTTTTCTCTGTCCTTTCTCCGGTCGTTCACTTGGCAAATTCCTGCTTCTCCTTCGAAACTCGGTGTTAAGTGGAATCTCTTCTGGAAGCCTCCCCTGATCCACCGACACCCAGGCAGCACTGACAGAGCCTTTCCTAATGTTCCTGTTCTACCTGGACTGAATCTCATTACAGTATCGATCATGCCGAATGGCATTCGCTGATATGTCTGCCTTCCCATTAGACTGAGCGATCCTCAAGAGTAGTAATTCTTAATTATCTTTGTAACCTCGGTATCTGGTACTTTGCCTTGGTACATGGTGGTGCTCTCTTAAGAGTTTGCTTCACAGGAATCCTTAGTATGAGACAACTTATCCTGTCACTGATCAGTTCCTTTTTTTGATTTTCTCCTTGTGTCAAACAAGAAAAGCTTCCTTTCCTTTTTGGTGGTATCTTTACAGTTTTACTACCTTGACTAGTTAGATCTAATTAACAAACTAGGTTTTGCGACTACATTCATCCTCATTCTTCCCCTTCACCAACTGTACTGTGAAGTGAATTTCCCCAGTAGCCACTTTGGTTTCATCAACACCCATTCTCATCTTTCTAGTTCCCTTCGGGAGCATTAGCAATACCAGAGCTAGAATCTTATCAAAAAGAGATCTGCTTTCTTGAGCCATCTTCCATTTTGGACTCTCAGCTCCCCTGATTTTGTGGGGAACTCCAAGAGCCAGAATTCCTGAAATCCAGGAAATGCATCCCACAGAACCCGTTTTTCTGTTCTGTGGACATCGTCAAATCCGTGGTTGTTGAGGTAGCCAGACTCCAAGATGGTGTCCAGCAATCCCCACCTCTTGACAGTCAGTGTCGCCTCTCACGGCAAGCCGAGGTTAGTCTATGTGGCCAATATAAAATCAGCCTCTGTCACTCTCTCTCATCACCTGCAGCTCAGAGAGAAAAAGAACTAGCTAGAGCATCTATCTTGAGGTGTCCTGCACAGAGACTTACATGACAAGGAACTGAGGCCTAAGACAACACCTTGTGCGTGAGCTTCTAGGTCTGCCGAACTCTGTGAGAACTCCTCAGGCAGGACCATGCAGCTACACTACCCCTGAGGTCCCAGTACTGTGTACGACAGTCAGTTTTGCTGCTGCTATTTCTATTTTTTTGTTTTGTTTTGCTTTTTTCTGTTTTGTTTTGTTTTTTGAGACCTGGAGATTGAACTCAAGGTCTATGGCCCCAGCCCCTTTTTAAATTTTGAGATGGGGTCTGGATGAGTTGCCCAGGCTGGGCTTCAACTTGCAATCCTCCTGCCTCAGCCTCCAACAGTGCTGGGATTACAAGTATGTGCCACCATGCCTCACTTGTTTACCTTTTTTAGAACCTCAGTGGCTTGAGAGATGCAGTCTTGAGCCAGAAGCTCCTATGAGTGCATCTGTGGGAGGTTCTATTCCACTTTTCCTCTGTTTTGAGATGTGTGTCTAAGGAAGCCAGTCGTATCCTCCCCCCAGCTGGGTGGGCTAGAATCCGAGAGGTGGTGGGACATCTGTCCCTACCTCTGTGTGTCTACATTGAAACGTTTACTCTCAGGAATCATGGATGTCCACAACTTCTATTGGAAGCATTATAAGAATAAAATTTTTAAATGTCAAAACAAGAAGGAGCTCTAAAAAGTGTCTGTCATGTGGTGGGTGCCAAGTGAATTCTTGCTTTATTGACACTGTGGAGCACATTGTCACTCTACATCCTGCCACGCGACTCACAGTGCTGTGGCTTTTGAACAACATATACACGCTGACTGCCACAGGTCAATCTAGATTCCTATCACTCTGCGATAGGGCTCATCTTCAGGGTATGTGTCTTCTAAAATCATGCTAGAATTACTCTTCCAGGTAGGTCTTATTTGTGAGAAACAGGACAGTAAAAACAGCCTTGACTATAATGACTAGGTCATATCTGCACACCACTTTTAAAGCCTCAATTTGTTTAATTTTGATGTACCCTATTCAGTAGTATATGAAGATCTCAGATTCCAAATATTGTTCTGACTTTTTGCGAGTCCTTCTCTCTGAGCTTTTGCAACTCCATCTATACTAGTGTTTAATTTCTGGTTATTTGGTTGAAATTTTACATTAGCCAGGATGCTGACTCATTTTGAAATTGTCCTAAAGTTACACCTGCATTATCGAGGGTTTGGACATTAATGAGAAGGTGCTTATTGCTAAGAAAATTCATAGCCATCTAAGGAAAATGGGCCTGACTTGCAATTCTTTCCCTGAGCCCACAATAAGCAAATCTATAAAAGATTGAGGAATTGTTTTCATGAAAATGTTCTGGGCCAGACGTAGTGGCACACACCTGTAATCCCAGCATTCTGGAAGGCTGAGGCAGGCAGATCGCAAGTTTGACTCCATCTTGGGTAATTTAACAATTTAGTGAGAGCTTATCTCAAAATAAAAAATGAAAAAGGGCTGGGATTTAGCTCAGTGAAAAGACCCTGGATTCAATCCCCAGTACCAAAAGAAAAAGGGAAGGAAAGAAGAAAGAAAAGAAAGGAAAGGAAAAATAAAGAAAATCTTCTGGTGAGTATTTTTCAAAGGTTTGAGAATAGAGAAAAATGTCAACATACAGGCCTGTGGTAGTATTACACTTTTCTACGTTTAGCATTTTGTTTGCAAAATTCCAGAGCTGAAACCTGTTATCTGAATAATGTACATTCTTCTGTTGGTAACAGTCTTTGATATTTAAGCAGTTTCAGTCATGATAAAGATGTGCCTTCCCATACAGTCAGGTGACCCAACACATCTGTCCCTTTCCCCTAGATCCTAGTCATGGTCCCACGTCCTCCTTTCTCACGTTGTGCTTCATCCCCACAGGCCTACTTTTGCCTGCGTTTTAACCTGTAAGTTGCTTAAGACCTCTTGGAATTAGGTCAGTGATATGTTTTAAATAAATAAAAATAAACTAGAGTGTTTCTGAGCAGCTGACTGTGAACAGAATTACTAGTAAGCCAGCCACAGATTAAACACCCAGGGAACAGCTTCTCTGAAGGGAAAGACTGCCTGTCCTTTTGGGGTGCAAGCTAGTAAAGTCTTCTGTTTTAAAATTTTGAATTTTTATCTCATGTTTCCTTACAGTAAGGCTCTCCTGGGCCAGATGGTGGGGATGGATCACTATAAACAAGGCACCAACCAATGGCTATGGGCTGGACACCTCCGAGGCCAGGGCTTGCCTCAGTGGTGCGAGAGAAGCTGCTCCCAGATCACCAGGCAGTGTCTCCCATCAGTCAGGGACTCACAGCCACTCAGGCAAACTATGAGTGGCTCTGTCTAATTAGCACTCCTGCCACCTGCAAACTAGTGGGACTAAAAAAAAGGTGCTGAATCCCTGCCATTGAGAAGTCAAAAAAAGACACCCCTGGTTTCACTCTGAGTCTGAGAATCTAATACTTCGATGGTTTGGGGAAAGACAGGAATTACACTCTCATTTTCACCCAAAGGAAATGACTGCTAAGGAGTTTAGTTTTAAAAACTCTCCTGCGGTGATGGGTCGCATCCTGCAGCACTGCCTGCCCTCTGCCTGGTCTGGGGTCCCTCTGCCTCCCACAGAAACGGCCTCATCTCTAAGCTCAGTGTGAGCTCTGTCTCCTGCTGCAAACCTCCCTGAGTAGCTACCTGCTATAGGTGACCCTTGTCCCCCCAAGAGCTGGAACCCTTTCCCCCAAACTGAGAACTAAGTCAAATTTCTTGATAACACCATTGTTATCTTAATTCTTTTCAAGAACAGAGCCAGTTGTTTTATTTGTCTGTTTCCACTGCTGTGTGTGTGTGTGTGTGTGTGTGTGTGTGTGTGTGTGTGTGTTGGGGGGGTGAGCAGGGTGAAAATGACCAAAGCATATGCTACCTGATACCTATCAATCCTGTCTTCCCAAGAGCCCCCAGCACAGTGCAGCACGCGGGAGGTTCACCATAAATGGCTGATTAAATGATTGGCAGGCGCCTCCATGACACATCACACAGCACAGTGGCCCCGGTGAAAATCCAGCAGCTGTGACTTCTTACTTCCAGTTTTAATCAATGTTGTGGAGTTGAAATGCTGGACACACAGTAGGTGCTAAATAGATGTGTATGGATTGATGAACCACAGGAGAGACAGTGGGTTGTGGAGGGCTCAATGATGCTTTTGATGCCAAATGGGGGTGCTTTTAGTGGAGAATAACGTTAGACAAACAAAGCAGCAAACACAAACCCCGACCAACACAGAGGTGGGTGGCTGCTCTGCTTACCTCCACTGAGCTCCCGCAAACAGATGTTCTATCAAGCCTGACCGGGCCTGATGAGGCTTCCACTCTTCCAAATGACCCGTGCCTTCAGTCATCAAAGGGACGCCAGCCCTGGTCCGGCAGGGGTTCTCCACATTCTAAGGCTGATTTCCAGTTCCGGGTCCAGGACCAGCTGCTGATAAAGGCAAAATCAGCATCCACCATGTACTGCAAGGGGAAGGCACTGGGCCAAGGACAAAGGAAACAGCACTGGTTTGTTAAGTGTAGTGAAAACACAGGCTTCAGAATGACAGGGCTCAAATTCCAGACCTGTCACCTGCCCCCTGTGTGACTGCAGGAGCTCACTGACCCTTTCTGGGACTTGGTTTGGGGAGTTGATAATGTCGATTACTGCACAGGTTATGCACAGGTCACTGGGGTGACTGACAGGACTCTGTGAGCAAGAGTGACCGCTGCAGTGCTGGGCATGCAGTGGCCGTGGGGTAAGGGACCGTGCTGCTGTGGTTGCTGCTCTACATGTGAACGAGAGGAGAGGTCCACCACAGCCGCGGCAGGCATGCGCGGCACCCTCAGGCAGTCCGCACTGGGCTCCTTCCAGATGACAGTAAGGCCTTTCCAGAACAAACCCCTTGTCACAAATGCTCCAAGCAGGGAACAGATGTTCTGGAGCATTCCAGGCTACTTCCCAGTGCAGGACAAGCCCCTTCATGACCCATCTGATCACAGTGTACACAGCAGGGCTGATCCCCAGAGCCTGGGGCTCAGGAGAGGGAGCACTAGCTTTTGGAGTACACTCCACAGGGCTGATCCTGCTCTTTCGGGAGGAATCTCTGGCCACAAAGAAGAGATTCCTGGGAGCAACACCCCTCAGGTCTAACGTACCACTCCGAGAGATCCACGGAGCAGAGCGCATCCCATCCCACGGGACACAGGGCAGGAGGAGTAACCCAAAAAGAAATCCAGACAGCCAAGGCGCTCGCTCGCAGAGGTAGGAGAGCTCTCACCCAACAGTCCGGTTAATGTCCCCAAACGCCTGCAGACACAGAGACAGCATGAGCCACAGTGCTCCAGACAAATGGAGTTCACCCCACATAGCTTGGTACTGGACAGAACTCCCCAGAAGAGAAAGACCTGGTCTTGGACTTTGCATTCGGGCTCTTTGGGTGACAAGAGGGTAGGGTGAGGACAGTTCAGACAAGCCCACTGTGATTCTAACTCACACAGCTTTTCTCACCCTCCAGACAAGCCGACACCCCCAGGAGCAGTCAGCAGGCTCCATTCCTGGAGAGTGTGCTACACTTCAGACCCCACAGCCTTAGCATCGCCACAGGCAAAGGCAGTGTTCCCAGTGAGGATGCTCTATGCCCCTCTCCTCCGATAACCCCAGCAGGGTGGCTGGGAATCCTCTCTTCACCTAGACAGTAGCCTTGGAAAGACGCTTGGAGTATGTACTTCCTCCTCTCGTTTGAAGATGAACCAAAATATCGTAAGACACTGGAGTGTCTCAGATAGCTAGATCTTACCCTGCAGATTTGTGAACCTTGGCCACGGTTTCATGATGCCCGCAGCTGTCATCCAGGAAGCTGCTCAGATCGCAGCCAGAGGATTCCTGAAGCTCACAGCTGGTGGATCCAGGCAGCTCTCTCTGAGGATGGCTTCCTACTAGACTGACTCTCGAGGGAGGCTCTGTTCTCCTCTCTGCACTGAACGGCTTCCACTGTTACCTGTGTATCATCTTTAAATCCCAAGTCATCCCTTATCTTTCCAGTTTACTATCTTCCGGCCCCTCTCACCACCATTTTGTGATCTGAGCATCATGCTGCATCTGTGTTCACCTGCAGGTGTTCCAGGGCCCTTGGGAGCTTTCCTCCCTCCGGCTCCCTCCCTGTCCCTCTGTGGAGCGCCTGTGTCACTCTGCAGCCCACACCCAGTCCTCCGCCCTGTCCCCTCCTGCCTGCCGCCTCCCCCATCTCAGGCTTCACACACCTTTCATTTGGACCCCTCCCCCAGAAATGCAGTTACTCTAACACCAGTGGGCCTTTCCCTGGTGTTCTCCTTCCTTGTCGCTGACAGTCCTCCCGCAACCCTCAGTAGATTATTATTATTTATTATTTATCAGTCACGACACTGTGCTGTGCTTCCTACGAGATGTTAAAGGAGACACAATCCCTGACTGTTTACAGCCAAGGAGCGAGAGCTCCAGAGCAGACACCACAGGGAGAGCCAGGGGTTCACTAGCGAAGTCCTCTCCACCCGGACAGGGGTGGGGGCCGGGGCAGCCCTCCGGAGCCGGCCAGTCCAGGTCCAGTAGCTAGCGGCTCCCTGACTACAGCACCCCTCTACCCACCAATTTCCAACCAGGCCTCAGGCCTCAGTGGCTTTGCATGGGTGATGGGTTCAGGCCAGGGGTGGGGGCTGGAAAGGAGGGACTGAGCTTACAGATCTTTCCTCTAAACGTAAAACCAGGCGACAGGCAGGAAGGGAGAGGAAGAGGTCAGGGAATAAAACCCAGACCCAGGAAGTCAGCTGGAAGGAAATGTTTTGGTTTAGAGGAAAAACCCCCGCCGGGAAGGCCAGGGCCTGGGTTCCAGCGTGGCTCTGAAAGTGAGGCGCGTCCCAGGGTCTGCAGGGGTTGGCCAGGGAGGCCACGGCTAGAGGAGAGCGAGCCGGGCAGGGCCAGGACTTCCTGCTGCTTCCCGCGGCCGCGGTGTGGCCGGGAGGGCGGGAGCGGCAAGCCCACTGGACTTCGCTTTCTCAAACTTTCCACCAGTTTCCTCAGGTGTTAGGCGCGG